TGAATGCAAATAATCTCCTCCAAATTGCTCATATATATTGTTGGTACTTTTTATATTTTTTTTTTGGCTTTGTAACAATTTTGTGCAAAATGATATGATTTTCTACAAATGAAGCAAATTTTGATATCACCTCATTGATATGAAAGGTTTTCCTTGCTTTGACATAAATAGAGTACTAAATCTTCACTTTGAGGCTCTTTTTCTTTCTTCTTGGTTACTTCATGGGCAAGTCTTGCTGTCATATAGTCCATTGTAAGTTCTTTCAATTTGATGGATTCTAGTGTTACAATAAGGTAGTTGTTGGACTTGAAAAGACTCATTAGTAAGGTTATGATAATATCACCCTCTTCTAAAGGCTTGTCAAAAATTGCTAGTTAATTTGCAAGAGCCTTCACCTTATTTACATGAGCCATGAGATCTTCACCTTCTATCTTACAAGTGAAGAACTTTCTCTTAGTGAAGATTTAGTACTATCATACTAAGAAAAAGAGCCTTAACTATCATAAACTCTATCTTATAATCATAAACTTTTATGCTTTGGAATCAATTATTTTACTATACATACAAGATAAATGAAAGAATATCAGCAAAAAAAAAGATACTATCAAGGCCTTTCTATAACATCTTAAATTCTCAATCTTGTGAGATAAGAACCTACAAATCAATGTTAGAGAGCTACAAGGTCAAAGTCAACACCTCTTCATATTCAAAATATAATTTTCTATCTTAGAAAATCCTAACATCACTAAACACCATAAGATTTATTCCACACAAGTATAACTACATGAAAATGACACTAACTTATTTAAATGGCACAACAAAATGTCAGTGGGCCTATAACCTATTGAAGAAATATAATAAGCAAGACACAAGTAAGTAGAAATCAACAAGGTTTCATAAAAGAGAAGTGTGGAATGAGATACCTCCTACTTCCAACACTCTTTACTTATAGATAGAATTTACATCTATTATGGCTAAACTTCACCTTCATCCATCTTTGCTTCATCAAATGAAACTCTAGCTACTACCTAATCCTAGCCACTACCTTAGTTACTTCCCTTCATTCTTTTGTTGCTCTTTGACCATTAACAACTTATCTAAGATAATACTTACTTACTTACCATACCTATTGTAATACTTCTTTACTTTAATATAATTTATATTGTAAATTTGAGATCAATCTAATAGTTTGTTCAAAGTTTATTGAAGCTCAAATATATTGAGGTCTTAAGAATTGGAGTTTAAAAGACCAATGAAGGTTTCCAAGATATCCAATAATCCGCTAATTGGATTAAAATATAATTTTATACATAAATATTAAACTTAACTTTTAACAATTTTACAAAATTTTAAACCTATTAAATAATAAAATTAAGAGATTTTGACTCTAGAATATTGGCATTAAGGTTAGAAAAGGAGGTCGTCCAATACTTGAGCAAATTTTAGGAATTATCTTCTATTTAATATGTTTGATCTTCTTCAAATATTTTTGTGTTTTTTTCAATTTAATTATTGAAAATTATGCAAATATTAAGTCAAAATCAACAATTAAATCATTAATTATTAAAATTTTAATATATTATAGGATTTATTAAGAATTTATTTAAGATTTCATGAGGAATTGATTAAGATTGGTATAAGATTTGAGATTTATTTAGGATTTATTTTTAATTTTATTTAGAATTTTATTTAGAGTTTAATTCTAATTTTAATAATTTTAAATATTTTTTTAAAATCTATTTTTAATATTTTTTCATATATATTTTTTAAAGGTTTTATTTTTGTATTTTTTTAAATTTTATTTTTGAGATTAATTATGACTTCTTTATGTTACTTTTGTAACTTCTTTTAAATATTTTTTGAATTGGTTAAAATTTGATTAAGATTTTTAAGGATTACTTAAGATTTATTTAATACTCTATTATACTTAATAGGATTTTGTTGTTGGATTTCTACTTACCTTCCATAACTAGGTGTCTAGTACATTCTTATACAAGAATACATATAATATGAAAGAAATTCTCAAGTATGATTGTACCATTGCAAAAGGCAAGTTATAAGAGTTGTCAGACAAAATTCAAGAGGCAAGGCAAAATTAAGGAACCTTTAAAGTCTTGAAAAATATTACCAAATCTTGAGTTAAAGAATTGTAAGCCTTCAACACCATATTATAAGAGGCTTAAGCAACATCCAAATCTGCAATCAATAAGCTACATGTAAAATTTATAAGTGTAATATAAAAAATTAAAATAATTAACAGGGAGAATTTTTCCACATCCATAAAGCAAGCATAGGATACATCTATCTTAACCTTAATCGACCTAGCAATGACAAAAAAATGTTTAGTACTTAGCATACTATCAACCATTTAAGCAATCTTCTAACTTGAGCAACCTTACAAAGTCACAAATTTATCTTATATATTCCTTGCATATATAGCCAACTACAAAATTTTCTTACAAGTCCTTAATAGTATATTAGACCATAATTTTGACTTATTCAATGCTTATGGCTATCAACCAATGCCATTAACATAGCATAAGCTACAACTTACAATCCTAACTAATAAACACATGTTCAACAATAAAGATTCATATACTAGCCACTCAAATAATGAAACAAAGGATAAATTGGAGGAAAAATGTATAATTTCAAAATATTTTATTGAATATCCACACTTCAAGGAAAACATGCCATATGTACCAACTTGATGGATTATTTATTTTGTAGAAAATTTATATTTAATCTAATTTTGGATATTTATCAATATTTATTAAAAACCTTATGCAAACACCATTATATGCATCAAGTATTTTTTGTGGTAATACAAAAATTGTATGGTGGATAAAAACCCTCTTATAGTGATCAACCTTGTTTTTGTAAAACCATGCCAAACATATCTTTGTATTGTAAATATCTTGAGGATATGATATGATATGAGATACCTTGAAAGATGAAATATTATCAACCTATGATAACCTAATAATCTCAAAAGTCCAAGTAATAATGAGGCTTTAGAAAAATTTCCATATGGATTGAAAATTTAGTTGTATTAGAATAATTCAATTTTTTAATTAAATATTTTTTCATCTGTATAAATCGAATTGTATAATATTCTAAGATGTATCATGATTCATATATTATAAAAAATACCTTTAATTGAAATTAAACAACTACTACTTGACTTTTACATAAAAATAATTTTTTTATATTGAATATAAAATTATCATTAAAAATAATAATCATTAAATTATTTTTAAGCATAAATTTATTATTTATTTAATTTTTATAAATTTATTTTATATTTATATATTAATAAAATAATATTTTTTTATACATAAACATATTATTTTATAATTAAAATAATAATTATATTAGATTAAAAAATCACATTAATTAAAAATATAAATATTATCATAAGATGTAAAATAATATTAAATTCTAATCAAAAAAAATCTTCTATTGGTATTCTAGAGAAATTTTAGGATCATCAAAATATCTATGTTTTTTTAAAAATAGTTTGTATAAGTATTTCATATTGATTTTGCAATTAATCTTTAAGAAAGAAAAAATCCTATTTTTATTAATCTATAATCTATTATAAAATAATATGAATAATTTTAAATAATTATATAATATAATAAAATAAAAAAATTAATATTTAACATCCTAAGTTCTTGTTTGATGTATTAATAATTTCTGTAAATAAATAAAACATTAAATCAATGTAGATGTATATAAATTTTTTTAAAATTGAAATATCAATTTATAAAAATCTTTATCTTTTATAATTAATATTTTAATTTTTGAATCTATTAAATCTACTTAATAAACGTATTAAAATATTTTTATAATAAATGATATTTCTTTTTTTTATGGAATTTTAGAGCCAAAGTTTGTTAGTAAAAAAATTAAATTAAAATAATTTAAAAAATCAAATTTATGTCATAAAAATTTAATATTTATTCTATTTTTTTCATCTAATATAGAAAATTAAGAGGTTTAGAATAATTTTGTACCAACTTCTATTTGTTATATTTAGCATCTAAAATAAAAGTGATATCATTGTATATTTCTTAGGAATAATATATCAATATAATTGTGTTTATAAATGACTTAATTACCTTTAAATATCAAAAGATTCTTTCTTCCAAAACCTATAATCTATATATTAAGAATGCTCAATATTGACAAGTAGTGGTTCTTGATGGTTGCATGGATGGATTTTCATTTTCATCAAAAAAGTTCACCTTTTCTAGAGTTCATAAATCGTTTTACAAGTTATTTTACAGAGTTTTGTATTGCAGAGTGAGTACCTTCATGCACTCATTTAGTTGTTGTTGTTTTTTATTTTTATTTTTATTTATTTAATACTAATAGATTTTACTCAGCGATAATGCAATGATGAACCCATGTCATTGTCACAAAAACAATGAACTTGAGTCTGTCATCAAGAACGTTAAAAAGATGCTGATATATCAAGTGATAAAATTTTCATTGCTAAAAAATAGATGATATCAATGATAATATTACATAAATACAGAACATCTATAATTCTTATTTAAAAAATTATAAATTTTTTAAACCAAATGATTAGCTGACTGTTGTAAGAATTCACACAATTCTCCACTTTGCAACTTGATCCGGGTTATTAAGTTCAATCTCAAATCCTTATCAATCCTATGAAGAAAGGAATAATTTAAAAGATGTATGTGGTTTAGATCAAGGATTGTAAGCCATTGTATAAAGTATTATCAGAAGTTTCTTGTTCAATGGCGCTGAAGTCTCAAAGAAGTTGCAGAAGACTCAAGCACTTTAAGGTCTGTAATTCAAGAATCTAAGTCATTCTTAAGTAATCGCATGATTTTGACATGCTGAACTCAGCAAGTGAATACTAAACCTGACTCACACCAAAAATTTCTATTATTCAAATTAATAACAAAATCCATGGTAATCGGCAACACCCACCACATTCTGTCCAAGTATGCTAAGACGAAAAATGACGTTGAGTACTCAATTTGGTTATGTAAATTTGTAGCCTAGAAAAGCCTGGAAAAAGTGACAAAAAAATATATACTTATTTTACACAGACATACTTGGTATAGTAATCCTTTGCAATCCGCCCAGATTGTGAACCCTATGCGATGCATGAGCTATAATGTTAACTAGTTTGCTAGTGAATTAAGTGGTTTGATAGTTAAAATCATTGTAAAGCCAAACTACATTCAACTCAATTGTAACAATTTTCTCATATTCCTCGCTTTAAAGTTTGTCGTCCTTTGTAAATCACAATTAGATCCGAGACACCATTAGATGCAACAACCTTCGACTGACCATTTCAATGGTTCATTGGATGTTCATGGCCATGAGGGGCACCTGCAAATCAAAGAAGCGATTCTCGATCAATAACTTGCAATACCATTACTCTCATATGTCTGGTCTGCACAAGGCCACACTGATGAATCCAGTATAAAAAACTGCTTGGGTATCCGTCCACATCTAGACCGACCCATTGATGGATCAATCGATCCATATGAAACCAACACCGAAATTATGAAACGATTGCTAGACAGCACAACGGGTGGTGGAGTGGATGAACGCTCACACAATGAGAGAGAGGCCCCATTGCGCAGCCTAGCGAAAAAAAAAAAAAAAACAAAACAAAACAAAACAAAAACAAAAAAAACACAGAAAGAAAACCATGATCGGCAAGAGCTGTACCTATTAAGAGCGGAACAGATAGACATGTGTGAAAAGCCTGGCACATGTACTGGGACTAGCATTGTGGGACAAAAAGCAACACAAAAATGCAAAGGAGATGTTCCTACTACACCACGAACCGCCGTCGCAAACAAATCAAAAAACCCAACCTGCTGTGATCAAATGTAAAGTAATCGAGTGATCAAATGCATAGTCACCGAATCACTGAAAACTCATTGGGCAAAGACCCCGAGAACATCACCCTCCTTGAAACCAAAAGAGAGTCTACCCACGTAGATACACAGAGAATCCTTTGATGCATGCCCTTCCTGCTGCTCCGATGTGAAACACCCTGTGATTTGATCACCCTATGATCAACAATAAAACACCATGTGACTCTAGACAATAAAAGGCCATGTGACTCTAGACAATGTTAAGTTTTTTGATGAAAACAAAGACTGATGAATTGTAAATCGAGTTGTGAACTCCACAGACAGTAAACTTTTTTGATAAAAGCAAAGACCAATCCATGCAACAAATGAGAACCACTCTTGTCTCCTTGAGCGTTCTTAACATATAGATTCACATTTGAGCTAGCAAATTGTGTGTGGGGACATGCGGGAAGACACAACTCCAATAGCGTTGCTGTCAATCGAGCTGAGTCCAGGTGATGTTCAGGGTTCCGAAGGTAGGATCGGACTCGGAGATGCCCAGGGCTCTCCACACAGCGAGCGACGCATCCACATCATCAAGATACGGGCACGGGGGCTGGTATGCGTGCTCTTCGTCACATCCTGCGCGCGTGTCGCATTCGTCCACCACCTTCGCGATTGTGCTCCTGCCATTGCCTTCGATGCGGATCGATTTCGAGCACCGCGCGCCACCGCTAAACCATCCCGTCGACAAAGCCACCACGCTGTCTTCGGCGGTGTAGAACTGTCCCGTGCACGAAGAGGCTCCACCACCGGACTCGCCAGCGCCGAACCCGTTCAGGGTGAGCGTCCCCTTCGTTGAGGGAGTTGTTATTGGAGGCGAGCAATCGTACAGCTTGTATTGTTTCCCGGTCTCACAGCACTCGGACATTTCCGCCGAGTTGCACATGCTGGGGGATATTGGTGGCCCCGTGATGGTGCCAGTAGGGTTGCAAGTAGTGCCAGAACATTCCTTAGTATCGATACTGGGATCGTCGTTGCACGCCCCGTTAATGCAAGCAAGCCGCCCGAGACAGTCGTCGTGGGTAGTACATGCCTCATTGCAGCCACCCTGTGCCGCAATTTGTTGGGTAAGGAGCGCGAGCCCCACAAACATCAACAGGATAATTGAAGAGGAAGCGCGAAACGTCATAGCTACAGATCGAGTTGCACAAATTAAGATACACAAGTCGATCAAACTTCTCAGTGTGTGTGCGATGCCGTTCCTCGAATCCCTTGCTCCGCGTACGATTAACTCGCTCTACAGCCAAAAATTTAAACCAATCAACGAGAGAGACGAACTCGCAGCTCAGTTGTCACAACGCTATGCAACAATCCGCAGTTGCTTTTAAACCCACGAAGAAGTTGAACTGATCCAAATCTAATCCAAGTGTGCAGCGTACCTGTGCAACTGGGTCTACCACCATGTCGACAACATTAGAACAACTTGCCAGCTTACCGACGACACTGTTCATTCAAAGGAGTTACCCCCATTTCTAATCTTGGCAACGAACTGTGGGCATGCACAAGTTTCATGTCAACAATGTGCCAATTCTAATTAGATTCGTAGCTTCGTCTTCGAGTCCAACAATCCTACCGACAGATCTAGCCCACCATCGTTGTGTGTTCGTGGTGACATTGGCCATGGGTTTACTTCGAGTAATTCTCTCTACTTTTTTGTTTCACTGTGGACAAGTTCCCAGCCTCCACATTAACCACAGCGTTGAGTACGGCGCTTCTGACTTTGTTTGATTCCACATCATCGTCGACTACTTCTTCGGACTCTGACAGATGCACCGCCCCAGCAGCCACACGGTTTGACCGCCTTGTCCAAGACTAACTGGTGAGTCCTTACCATTTGCAGACTTTTTGTATCACCGACGACGTCATCTCTGATCCACATCAAATATACCCCTTCTAATTGGCAGACGCTTTATGTCACCGACGACGTCATCTCTGGTTCACATTAAATATACTACTTCAAATCTTCGTAATAGACTGCCAATAATATCCAATATCTATCTCTTCATTTTATTTTCTCTTGGGTAGGATAAGTTTGATGAGGGCTTTTTTATTTTTTTTTATTTTTTTGGCACGAAGGAAGAATTTTATTGCAAAGGGAACCAGTACAGAATGCTGGCTTAAAAATCCCGGCCAGACTGCGACTCAATACTAGGAACATAAAGTAAAATTACAACCCCTCTTTGTAAGTGACCTACTCTATCTTGGTTTGAGAATAGTTGGAATGTCATTGGATAGTTCTATCTAGGCGGGTGCAAATGATGTTATTACTATCCCAACTAGTGTCAAAAGCTTTGTATTGAGTTTCTAGGGCATCCTTTGATATTGCGTTAGAAGTGGAGCTGCAAGCAATGTATCTAGTCAATTAATCCTTGCCATATGGGGGTCTTTGTTTTCTCTATTGACCAATCAACATTAATGAAGGTGCAATCATTTCTCTTTAGCCAAAGTTTCCATAGTATAATTCTACAGAGGAGGGTCCATACTAAATAAAGCTTCTCAAATCTCTTTGGGATTTTTCTGTAATCTTGTTGGATATATTATAAAAAATATATATTATGGATGTGGCCTTTTGATTTCATAACCTTTACCATGTGCAACTAATTTGCACCTTTATCTTTGAATTTGAAGGTTTTTGGTGCCAAAAAATCATTCACTAGTTTTACTTAGGGCCTTAGATGTCTTCTTTAGTGGGTTGATATTATATAAGTTTGTGGAGCAAAAAGATAGGGAGATTTGTGTACTTTGATTTAAAAGCCTTGACTATCTACTTATTTAATATACAATTCATTACATCATCTGAGTTTGTCAGGCTTAGACCTTCTATCTTTGTTTCTAAAATATACATCTTTTAAGCCACTTTTGTCTTGATGCTGTCATGTTGTGGTTCGGCTACCATGTGAAAATAATGTGATTATGTATTTAATGTATAATTTACTTAATAACATGGTAAGAGCCATGTTACTGGATTTTAGTTGGTTGTAGAATGTGGTTAAATTACTACTTTAAAAAGAGGTTGTTTAAAAGGATTATTATTAGAATTTGTATAACTTTATTTTCTTTTCATAGTGGCTTTTGAGATTGATTTTGTTGGTAGTAACTTTAAATATTTAGAGTTACCTTTATTAGACATTGGTGACCCTTAAAGTCTTATTTTGGATCTTTAATTTAGTTTTTAGGGCATATATTGAGTAAATATTATAAAGAAAAGAGTTGGAGAGGGATTTTGGTAGTAAAAAGAGAATTTAGGGCATCCATATAGATGAATGGAGATGGATGATGAAAATCTCTATTCCTATTGGTCAAAAATCATAACCAATGGGCTTTAAGGAGACTATCCACGGCCATATTAGAGATTAGAATTAGTTTTTCAAGGCCGTTCGAGCTTTGAAGGCTAAGGTCAGCAAGTTTAGGTTTTTGGCTATGATTTTGGTACAAATCTTGTATGATTTGGAGTTTATATGAAGGAGATATAGGCACTCAAAGTTAAGGTGTTGATTTGGAAGCTACTATTACTATTTTTGAAATAACGCATGCGTACGGAGGGCAATTGAGGATTGGCAACTATGACTAGAGAGAAAAATTTTACAACTATACTTTTTGCATATTGCTTGCTGGATTCCAAATTAAAATATAGAAGTTATTGGATTTTGAAGTCAGCACATGCAATCTAAGGGTAGTAAGTGACCTGATTTACTAGTGGTTGTGTCTTGAACTATATCTTGAGTAATTTGACAAGGTCTTTGCTCAAAATTTCAAGGAATGTGTATATTCATGTTAATAAACTTTATAAATTAGTTTTATGGCATTTGAGTATTAGATTCTTGAGATATTAAGAAAATAGTGCTCAGGTGCTTGTAAATTTGGGTTTAGAGCATCTACTAGGATTTCTTAGATACCAAAAGATCGGGAGTGATTTTGCAGTTGGTTTTTTTTGAGATAAAACGTAAGAATAAATTCTACCTATTCTATAAGTTTGAAAAAAATTGAACGGTTAGATTAAGAGTTATAAATTCACTTTTTTTTAAATGGATTTCTTGGCTTAGTTGATTGTTTCATATATAAGAAGAATATTGTTGAAAATATAATGATTTGGAAAGAAGGCACTTTAATCTAAATTTATGAGTGCCCTCAATTGAAGGATTTTTGTATAGATTTTATACATGACATTTAACAAAATTATAGGTTGTCAATTTTTGAATTGGATACAATCTACTTCTTCTCGCAAGAAGGCAATAATTTTGGTAGTAACCTTCAATAGAAAGGCCCCTTCCTTCACTACATTATACACTATTTGATTAGAATTCATGCCAATGATTTTTTAAAATCTGATGAAGAAGGCAATGGCCACTTTGTTGAGGCCTAGAACTTTCTTCAATACTATGTCTTTTGCAGCTTTGAATAATTTCTCATTCAAGAGGATTTGAATTAAAAGCTTAGTTAAGTTAGTCTAAAGTGCAATGGACTATGCTTTAAGTATGCTATTTGTTGTTGCTTCCAAATACTTGTTTCAATGTTGTGCAATGTATAAAATTGGATAGAAATCAATACATACTTTGCTAATTACCTAATTTTTTGTGATTATATTACCATCTTAATTGTTAAATTAATGATATGGTGTCTCTTTAGTTTGTCTTTTACAATCCAAAAAAATTTACAAGTCATATTATTATCCTTGATCTTCTATCAAATTCTTGCTTGGATACAAATTTCTTGCAAATTCTATACTTTGATTGATTTTAGCATTTTTTGATACTTTTTGAATTACAGTTGGTAAATTTTGTAGGTTGGATTGGCTTATAGTTGAGCTTATACTTTGGTTAGTGTTAATTTGGCCATATACTTTACTCTGAAGCTCTCTTCTATTTTTTTTTTTTGGTACTACATCTTAAAGAATCCTATGAAGTGGCAAAACCAAGAGACAATCATTTGCCAAAGTGGTTTACTTCATACTTTTTGGATTGCCATAAATACCTCATCATTTATAAGGTATCAATTATTTATTTTATAAAATGGTTTATAAGGTCCTTTATGATAAAATATTGTCTTGATGTTAAAGACAAGAACTGGAAGATCATGCATAAACCAATGAAATCCATGTCAAAAAAAAAGTGACAATATAGAAATAAGGAAGTACATATATTAAAAAGTAACTAGAATGGCTTATTGCCAAAAGTCAAGAAAACTTGAGACACTTGAAACTAGATTAGAAGCAAGAAAAGAATTGACAATAGTGAAGAGGGCATCACTTTTGTCTCTATATATACTATCTAACTAAGGACTACATGGCGATGTTCTATAGGACCTTTAATATGTATTGACTTTGTAGGACACATGCTTTGACTTATAAGACAAGTTTTTTTATATATTTGCCACATAATTAGCTTGTTCTTTAAGCTACCAACATGTGTGGTACATGATTAACTTGTTGACTAAGTTTTTAACCTAAAAATCAATAATAGTCACCTATAAAGTCAAAGCAGCGTATATGAAGCTTCTAGAAAACTTCTTTAGAAGTTATTATAGAATTAACTTACTTTTACCTACTTCTAGCTACTTCTACCTATTTATATAGATGATTATTGGCTTTCATATATATATATATATCCATGATATTACTTCCCTTATTAGAAACAAGTTCTATGAAGAGCGGTCATTATATGTTGAAAAAATCTATGATGCAACAAATTGTATTTGCCACATATTCAGATCTTTTTTCTCTTTGAAGATGGTTGATATGGCCTTTCAACCATCAATAGTGTCTTATATCAATGTAAGAAGACCACCTTATTATTTGGTCATTGTTGAGGCCTTCATAACTTCTTTCAAATAAAATATTTAAAACACCATTAAGAATTTTCCCTACTTTGATTAAAAGTACCAAACGTCGAGAGTCTCTTCCAAGGTCGTGATATCAAACGTATTGTAACTCACCATCTATGTAAGAAAAAATATGTCATTTTTGAGGATCTTCATCTCGATTGTATTATCTTGAAGGTTGTTACAATCGTAATGTCTCGTCTCACAAGTCAGCAAACAAAGGATCTTCACTCAAATCCATTGGCTGTTGATTTTCTATCTCTTCACTATCACAAATACAAAGAAGCTATAAAAAAGGATTGAAAGTTGAATGTTATCTTACCTAGATCTTATTTCTTTTATATGAAAGGTCTTCATCTTGATTTTGATGGATGTCATCAATGAAAAGCCTCCCCCTTCTTTGCCGCATTTACAAGATTCTTTATTGACTCCTATGTACATTTATTAATATTATATTTGTACCAATAAACAAGATATTTTAACTTATTTAGGCGCTGCCTTAAATCTAAGACTTCTTCCACTTCAAATTTTTCACTATTGTCTACTTCTATAGGAAGAGGTGGCACTTATTTTCTTCTTGATATATCCACTATCTTGTATGGTTCAAGAAGAGATACATGGAATATTGGATGGATTTTCATTGACTCTAGTAGGTGTAAACGATATGCAATTAGATTGATTTGTGTAAAAATAAAAAATGGTCTAAGCTTATAATAGTCCAACTTGTTACAATGACAAGTAGTCTTAATATTACAAGAAAATAACTA